AAAGTGAAATACAAGGAAGACAGATAGACGATGATGAGGTGTATATACACCTCCCAGACACCAAGGTAAACCAACACAAGTTTTTTTTTTTTTTTTTTTTTTTTTTTTTTTTTTTTTTTTTTTTTTTTTTTTTTTTTTTTTTTTTTTTTTTTTTAATCTCCTTTGTCTCCTCTGTCTCCTTTTTTTTTGTTTTTTTTTTTTTTTTTTTTTTCCTTGTCTTTTGTCTCCTTTGTTTCCTCTGTCTCCTTTTTTTTTCTTTTTTTTTTTTCTTTTGTTTTTTGTCTCCTTTGTTTCTTCTGTCTCCTTTCTTGTTTTTTTCTTTTTTCTTTTATCTTTTATATTTTATATTTCTTCTTTTCTCCTTTGTCTCCTTTCTTTCTTTTGTCTCCTTTTTTTCGTCTGTCTCCTTGTCTCCTTTCTTCTGTCTCCTTTCTTTTATTTCCTTGTCTCCTTTCTTGTATCTTTTTGTTTCTTTCTGTATTTGTTTTTTTTATATGTGTTTGTCTCCTTTTTTTATTGTGTGTTTATTTGGGTGGGGTTGTTGTGGGGTGTATAGGTAGCCTTTACCCCGAAGGCGCAGCTAATTAAAGAGAGAGAAGCAGCAACCAGCAGCAGCAGCAGCAGCAGCAGCAGCAGCAGCAGCAGCAGCAGCAGCAGCAGCGGCAGCGAGAGTGAGGGGGATGATAGTGACAGCAGCAGCAGCAGCAGCAGCAGCAGCAGCAGCAGCAGCAGCAGCGTAGAGACAGATGAGGAAGAAGAAGAGATAGGGGACTCGGTGAGGATGGTAAGACAGCTGCAGCAAGGAGACAGTTTGCTGCTGCAGCAGCTGCAGCAGCAGCAGCTGCAGCTGCTTGATTCCTCCACCAGGTGTATAGACAGCTCAGCAGCAGCAGCACCTCCTCCTCCCCGTCGTGCTGCTGCAGCAGCAGCAGCAGCAGCAGCAGCAGAGGAGACAGAAGAAGAAGAAACAGAGACGGAGACAGAGACAGAGACAGAAGGAGACAGCGGGGAGGAGACAGATACAGAGACAGAGACAGAAACAGAGACAGAGACAGAAACAAAAATAAAAATAAAAAATAAAAATAAAAATAAAAACAACACTGAAGGAGAAACCAAACAAGCAGCAGCAGCAACAGCAGCAGCAGCAGCAGCAGCAGCAGCAGCAGCACCAGGATCCATCGTGCTGCAGCACCTCAGCAGCAGCAGCAGCAGCAGCAACTCTTTCACTCGTCTCTCTCTTGCAGATGCGGTGTATGGGGACCCCAACATCAGCAGCAAACCAAATAAAAACAGCAACAGCAACAGCAGCAGCAGCAGCAGCAGCAGCAGCAGCAGCAAGAGAGAGGGTCAGCTGTCTCTCTTCGATGATTCAGACGGAGACACAGATGAAGACGAGGAGGATACAGCAATGGGGGCCCCGCCCCCCCCGGGGGGCCCCCCTGTGGGGGGCCCCCAGGGTAGACGGAGACTATATGGTAATATTGCTGTTGCTGCTAGCTGTTCCGGTTTGTCTCCTTGTTTTGAATCAGGAGACAATGCTGCAGCAGAGACAGCAGCAATATATAAAGCTATGGGGATCGACGATCCCAACAACCCCACAGTTGTTGAGGCCGTTTGGACCCCACAGTTTATTAAAGCTATTAAGGTTAGGAATTGGAGAGAGATGGTGCTGCTGCTGTTGCTGCTGTTGCTGCTGCTGGTGCTGCTGTTGCTGCTGCTGTTGCTGCTGCTGGTGCTGCTGTTGCTGCTGCTGTTGCTGCTGTTGCTGCTAAGAGGGGTGCTGCTGCTGTTGCTGCTGGAGTGTTGTTGCTGTTGCTTCTGCTTCTTCTTCTGCTGCTGCTGCTTCTGCTGCTGCTGCTGCTGCTGCTGTTGCTGCTGCTGTAGTGTGGTGGTTGTGTGTAGAGTGTGTTTATTTGGTGGGGTTGTTGTTGGTGTGCAGCGGCAGTGTTTTATAACGGGGGGGTGGGTGGAGCTGGAGGAAGCAAAGAAAACAGCAGCAGCAGCAGCAGGAGATTTTGCTGCTGCTGCTGCTGCTGCTGCTGCTGATGCTGCTGATGCTGCTGCTGATGGTGGTGATTCCACAGGTAAGCAACAAAGCATAAAGAGGGAGATATAAACAATCATACATATCTAGGGTTTAGGGTTTAGGGTTTAGGGTTTAGGGTTTAGGGTTCTCAGCTTTGTGTGGTATGTAGGGCTCAGGATCTATGGTTTAGGGTTTAGGGTTTAGCTGTGTCGCTAGCTTTAGGGCTTAGGGTTTAGGGTTTAGGGTTTAGGGTTTAGGGTTTAGGGTTTGCAGCATCTATCATATTACAACAAACAGCAGAACAAAAGAAAAACAAAAAAAAAAC